CATTGGGAAATGAATGCAATAACACGTGACCAATTCAGCTAATCAGAATACAGGAATTTCAATGAACACAACGAAAATTTAATTATTATCCCATGCACAGCACGCACATTAGTCTTGAATTCTGCCTAGCATTAACAGGAGTTGCCATTTAGCGTTACGCTATGATAATAAGAGGCGACTAACGGGATCGGGTGGTCAGGCTTCGCTGACTTGGTTGATGCATATCGTCGTATCATAATTACGTCCCAGGTGCTCAAGGTGTCAGTCACTGAACTGTCTGGTCCAGAGTTGATGTATTTGATGTCCAGATGTATTAACATATACATGTAGGTGGAATATTGCTGAGTGTGGCGTTAAAAACAAACAATCAGTCTGTCGTAATAATCGTATGTACTTCACTTCATTTTCTCCGAGTATTAGGAGGATCATTTGTGCATAGAGTGATTTCTTGTAACTATCTTGTTGAAGCCATTATGTATAATGATAAAAATGGTTTCAATATATGAAAGTTAATATATGTGGTTTAAAAGAAGTCTCCATTGATTCCTGAATTCGGAAATTAAACCTTCTATGAATATTGTTATATTTTCAAATTGTGAAGTCAGAGGCTGACGTGATCGGTTACGAATTAAATGTGCATGTATTGAATGTACACGTCCATCTTCAAATATAAAGCTACAGTATGTTAATCTTCTAATTCGGATTCCACAACATCACGGACATGATTTACACCTCCAAGATCAATGCATAAAACGTACATACGTGCATAATACGCGTAAATTATAACAGTATGTAAAATATCACTCAAACTTCAAATTGAAAAACTAAATCATATTCCGAGGGAAATAAGTTTCAGTCTGCCCGACGTTTAACGAAGGCAAACTGGAAATATTTTCACAAGGGACACACATTTTCTATATTTATTAGCACATATATAATTTGAAGGTGATTCAACATAGACAAACAGTTTATATCACAACTGAGACACACATCAAGGGTTAACGTTTGCTAGACACACATCAAGGGTTAACGTTTGCGAGACACACGTCAAGGGTTACGTTTGCTGACCAAACCACAGAGGACGTCAGTGACGTCATTGTGTTTAACAAACCAGTAAAGTTGAACAAAGGTTTCCAGTAAAGGGCGTTCAAGTGTTTTAACAATGCAGTAATGCCTTATCAGAACTGACGAAACGTCCTTTTTACAGAATGTACGTATCTCTCTTTAATGCTGTCCCTTGAAACTAGTTATCTGTCAAAGCTCAAGTGCTTTGTAGACAAGACAACTCTGTCCCCAGTAGGGTGATCTACCTTCAGTTGCTGGCGATCTATAGCCCGTTTGTATGTGATGTTATGTATCCATTTCATGATTCCATACTAGTTTTAAATATTTTTCTGTGATAAGTTTATTCATTTTACTGTCTTTCGTTGGCAGGTTTGTATGTAAGCCTCAAAGTATTTATTATGTTTAACATTTGATAGTCACGATATGTCTGAAATATTGCCGATGTGATTTAAAATTTCAACTCATTCACTCACTCACTCATTCACTAGACAACTGTGCCAGTACACACTACCACAGAATGAACTCTCGGAAATGTGTTTCACGGTCGGTTGGATGTTCAAGAGGATATCTGTGGTTCAGCCTAGTACTAGATGAAATGACGCACAAATGTCTTACGCTGCCAATTTTACCCGCTGCATGGCCGACTGAAAACGACCATGTATCAAGGTGTGCATGTGCGTGTGCGTGTGCGTGTGCGTGTGCGCGTGTGCGTGTGCGTGTGCGTGTGTGTGTGTGTGTGTACGTGTGCGTGTGTGTGTGTGTTTAACGCTACACTCACAATATTTAATTTATATGTCGGTGGCCTGTAAGTAGTCGATTGTGGACCAGACAATCAAGTTAAAGTATGTTATGAGCAACGATCTGAACCTTCGGACTACGTTGACACATCATCAATCAACCCAGCCTGACCACCCGATCTATTGAGTCGCCTCTTGCCCAAATGACTATGCGCTGTACACGGTTTATCGTTAAGGTGACTTGCGACCTTTCATTCTGAACGCGAAGCGTCTAGTGAACTTGGAGCGGCGACAGTCCCGGTTCTGCTGTATTAAAAACAGTAATATCAAACAACACTTATATATTTCTCTTTGGTACTTTTCAGAACATTTCAAGAAACAATTTGGTTTCTGATTGGGTAATTTTCATAATGTCTGTTGAGAAGAAACAGTCATATCATGTGAGTAGCCTCATCCCACATTCTTTGATCATGAACAGGCGCACTTTAATTCAGCGATGGAGATCATCAGATGCATGCGAGATATTGTTTGTTTTGCTGAAGTACTTAAGTATTTGATCAAAATGTAACTTTTCAAATAATAATCATTTCAGTTGGTTTGATCGAAGGTTTGAACGAATGAACGAAAGTTGTCCCTTTGGGGTTATTGTTCACAATCAGCTAATCAGATGCCTAGAATGTATGCAACATAATGTACACACTGCAACTATCAGAAAAAAACGTGCACCAATACATTTATTAACTACGACTAATATTTGAGTAAATGTTTAGCGACAAACATGTACTTTGTTCAGAGAGAATTGTCAGTAATTCCTTCATTCAAATCGGCAATCAACTTATAGTTGTTATTATTTTCGCGTTTTATTTTGTCATGCCAGTGTAGAGATGCATATACCGTGTTCTTAATGTGGAGCCATTACATGTACATAGACATAACGGTGCCAAATTTACAACATTTGACACTTTGGCATTGAAAATATAGTACCCTTTTCTCCCAAGTAGCTATCAAATGTTATGACAGTGTCAACATGAATGTTTGTATGTTAACATCTAAACACGTTTGTTACATAGCTTGGAGCACTATTACACACAAAGTTAATAACAGAGCATAAAATATTGCAAATATGGACACGCATAGTCCCAATAAAAACGATGAACAAATAGGCTGCTACTAAGGGCATATTCATAATCGGATCAGAATTGTGTGTTCACATTTATAATTAGGAGATACGTTTGCAGGAATCATTAACAGCAAAGCATCATTTTCATGCGGTTTCAAATATCATGTTGAGATTGTATCCAACGGACAGATGACGAGCAATGCATGGTTATTTGAACTTTAATTTGTGAATACTTAAAATACGTTAATAGATGGAAAATCAATTTGAATACTCTTTAAGAAGAACGTAGATACCAGGTTTCATCTTGATTAAGCCAGTCGCTTCAGAGAAGAATATGTTTCCGGACAAATAGGCCCAAACTTCAGTTAATGAGGAATGCTCAGTTTTTACAGATCTATTATATGATATATTTTGACGGAAACTGGAGTACAAATTTATAAATTCAATTTAAGTTAACGCCAAGACTGCTGAATGAAGTATTTAAAGTATTTGTTTCACAAGTCATAGGAAATTTTTATTCAAAATTTGCAGATATAATAGAGGTAGGTGGTAACAAGAACCCCTTATTTGTTTACAATCGGTGTCACTTGACACGGCGTCGGTATACACGTAGATCATTTCAGCCTTAGAGTGTGGAATTCAAGAAGTCAGATATCAATGGACTTACCACACTACCTATAACAATCAAACAAATTAATTCAAACTCACATTTAAAATAGTGACAAGCTTTGCGCGAAGGTAGAATCTACAAATTGCAAAACAAAACGTGTTGTGTTAGTATCAAAAACCAAAACAGAAAATAAATAAATTAAATTGAAAGCAACGTGACATTAATGTCTGATAATGCCAAGGTAAACGTCCTGATGTACTAGAAACATGTATGAATTTCTTAGCATCATGACCCGTGTTGTATCTATCATAATTATCAGTCGGAAGAGACGATTTAATGGATCGGGCGACCAGGCACCGTGTCTTGGTTACTTGATGTCATCGTATTCCGACGATGTGATAGTTGCTGACAATAACAACCACTCGATTACACGCAGGTCATATATAGTGAATGCAGCATGTGATAACAAACAAACAAACAAAAAAACATACTCATAAGTGTCGGTAATGTCATTCCGAGTTTATCCTCCTAATCAAACTGCGAAGCCCGGACCTGTGTCTGACTTGACGTGTTTCTGAAACTCTTGTCCATGGCTTTTAATAAATTACAAATGTTTGCTGTACTGAATTATTCCAGGGAAGTCACAACTCTATATATGTGTATATATATGTAAGGATGCAGAGAAAGTTTTGGATCCTGTCTTACTGACAATGTTCAAACACAAAAATCGATATGAGAATAATGCTGCGTGGTAGATGAGAACCTTAAACGTCTAAATGTGCAGAACGTCGATTGCATACCACAAATCTAATTCCACGCCGTATGGTTAAGGCTTTCTGTCTGCATGGACGTTGCATTATATCCTTTCAGACAATCCAAGGTGTTCAAATCCTTAAAAAATATTATATGAATGCCAGTATTAAATACTGTACCGGATACATGGGTGTTTTGGGCTCCCATCATCAAAACACAGTGAATGGTAATATTCAATCAGAAAGTAGAAATGCAGAAACAAGCATCACCTGTCTGTATATGACAGTAAAGTTTAGCACTGGTTTACCTGGCTTGTAAATTAGCCTATTAGGCTCATAATGGTATGTTCCCCATTACAGCTGCATTTGATAATAATTCACGCTATTATATCTACTCTCATTTCAGTAACCTTTAAACGTTCCCTCGTAATTTTAAACTGGGATTGAATCAGACGCGCTGCGACACCTTGAATTCATCACTGAAAGTCGACGGCGGCGCCAGACCAGGTGAGCTTCAGTATGAGGACAGGTGCAACGCTAGACACGCTTCTCAACATTTATCGAAAATACACATTTCTTTCATGTTTACACACACACGTCCTACGCGTAACCCCAAAAGATAAACGATGTTTCCACCACCAGTAATGAGATAACAGCCTTGACAAGCATACTGATATACAGGCACATTAATACGATAAACTACCGCATCAGATTACCTCTGTTGATTCCGCCATGCTGAACGGTCCTGAGGATGGTCCTATTTCTGTTCGCAGATAACGATGGGAGCAGATGGCGGCTCCATAATCTCCCTGACTAGATACGCAAGCTTCACTTCCTGGCTTTTTATCCGCTCTCAAAATTGTCAAATAATATTCAGCTCCACTGACGGACTGTACAGCCCAACGTTGTGAGCGAGGAAACAGAGGCGGTGTACTGGCAAAGAGTTCGCTGCGGCTGATGGTCCTCCGCTGCCCCTGACAGGACAGTTGCAGTCTAATTAGCTTCCACTCCCAGACGCGTAACAGCGCTGTAGTGTTTTAACAGCTGTGGTGTAAAATGCTAACAGGTTAGCAATATGTAAATAAACCAACAGACAATAAGGCGTGACATTAGTTGAACAACAATAATATTATTCATAGCGAATTTACATGTATGTACCATTACGAATATTCCGCAGTCTAACATGTATTCGGTAGTAATAGTAAACAAACGTTTTATTTATCGTTAGTAGGTTCATTTGGATTTAATGGAAATAGTGTGTGTGCTTTTGGGGTATACGGAGGGTGTTAAAGATAATTATATTAATTGACGAGTAATTTCCTGTCCTGTCAGCTGAAACGATAACCCATTACTGGAATATTTAATATTCACAAACAAATTGGTTTGTTTACAGTGAACCGCTATCATTTATCTGCAAAGCAATGCTACAGTCTGCCGTGGCCGAGTTCAGACCGTGTATTGATTGTGAATTTAAAGCTGACAGACGTCGTGTCCTCATCCATTATGCACCGGCAGTTTGTGTGTTTTCTATGGCATCTAACCGCCAGTCTGCATAATGTACGACTCGACACATTCAACAGTAGTTATCAGTGAGACAAAATACAAAGCTTTGTTAAGGCACAATATTCAATATGTATTTATCATTAGACACAGTGGTTTACTGTGTCATAAGAAAAAACATGTTTGTAATCTTCCTGATAAGAGATTTTTTTGCCATCCGATGCGATGTTTTGTTTTGTCTCCGGATGCAGTATGCTGATATGCATCGGACACAATGTTTTATATCATCATCGGCTGCAAACTTTGGTTTTGTGATCATCCGACACAGAGCTTCATTTTGTCATCTCATACAATATTGTTTATATCATCTACTGGGCGGTCGGGTAGCCCAGTGGTTAAAGCGTTCGCTCGTCACGCCGAAGACCCGGGTTCGATTCCCGACATGGGTACAATGTGTGAAGCCCATTTCTGGTGTCCCCCGCCGTGATATTGCTGGATATTGCTAAAAGCGGCGTAAAACCATACTCACTCACTCACTATATCATCTACTGCAATGTTTTGGATTCTACGCCCATTGGAATCTGTTTCGGTGGATAATCGAGACTGGGTGCTCTCTGGCGTAGACGTTATATAATATATTTCATGATGTCATCGCATACAATGTTTGGTGATGTCATCGGAAACTAATGTTCCATTCGGTACAATGCTTTATTGTGTCAGGTGGTAAACCGCTTTCTTATGTCATCCAATACAAAGAATTATCGAAGGTTAATTACATACATTCCAGCAGCAAAATATCCTACTGTAACTAATACCACCAGACCCCATCCAACCTCACACGTGGAATGTAGAATACAATATTTTAAGTTGCATATGTTCCTTGGTCAATTCAATTCCTTCCAAATATATAAGGTCAACGCCAATGAATTTCATTGGGAGTAACAAGCAAAACAGCGTAGGAAATTATATGAATGGATCACTGAAAACCAATGACGACGCCAGATGTCCGCGGAAAGGATAAACATATCCTGCAATGCCGATAGCACCCTAGTCCTGCACCATGACCGTGGAATATATTTATTTTATGAAACAAATAATCTAGAAATGCATACAAAAGCAAGTCTAGCCAGCTCAAGCTAGCTCTATTCCAATCAGCATAGGGATTTTTTATATTTTTAGAGTCAAGAAGGATATTGTGTAAAATAAGATTTCAGAGACTAAATGTTAGTCTAGTAGCACCCACCCTCACACAATTTGCATGAAGAAGAATGTGTTTGTTGCCCGACGCCTCACAGCAGCACAACGGAAATGTGATATTTTCCGATTCAAACAGAAAACAGAAATAATAACCTCAAAAGCACATTTTTCAGTTTTATCACGACTTTATTCTTATTGTAATATCCATCAAGTGTAGTAGGGTCTATGCTTAGTTGGGCAAGAAGAAGTTGCGTACATAAATAATTATATGAAAACACCAGGCACCGATACAGTAATAATGATACTAAAAACTATGTGTAAATGTTATTACCAATGAATTAAATTATTCTTAAGGCAACCATAAGTTTTATATGTATAAAAATATACAAGATTACATATTAAAACATTACACAAAAGCCCTTAACATTCAGTTAACGTGGCCTTAGTATGTATTTATAAAGATAGTTCTTAGCGTGACGCTTCTATAAATAATGTTTTCAAGTCTAATGTCCGGGAAAATGGCTGTTTGCAAAATAAGGATTTTTGTAACGTTCCACTTGAAGTCACAAAATTAAAAGTGGACTGATGACATACTCCAAATACTGTTGTTGATCAAGCCAATTTCATTATATATGATAAGCAACACTGACTATTTGTTACAGGAAAACAGTTGCTAGAATTGAGCATACACAGTCCATGCATGTAACGTCTTCGTTGCTGGTGTATGGGTAATTTATGTGCCGCCTTTGTTGTTCATACAGACAACGTGTTTATAAATGACTGTAAATATCTAGTATTTTTTATCTTTTGCTGAAGTTTATGTACATGCAACTGTGTACGTTATAAGGACACACTCTAATGCGTATGAGCAGACCGGTGTATGGATAGTAATGCCACTACTGCAGGTGTTACTATAGTTACTATTCCGACAGATAAGATAGATAATGTCAGCAATATGGCTCCTTGAACTCTTCCGGGCTCGTGAGGATGTACATATCCTGTGTGCAGGTCTTTCTGAGACACCGCCCTAGTAGTACCCTTTTAGCACCTTGCCTGGTGTCCTGGCCTGAAAGCCACAGGTAGGGGAGTGCTACATAGATGGAGGTACTTGTGTAGGTCGCCACTATCCAGAATATAGACATTCCATTACCATCATCGTCGTTGCATGTTTTGAACCCAAGTGAGAATGTAAAGTCCGGTAGTTTCAGCAGGACCACGAGGGCAGATGCCAGATAGACATCCGTGGGATGAGGCAGTGTCGCGTCAGGGCAGCTCCTCACCTTACGGCTGTAGCACATGAACAGGATGAGGTTCGCAAGGAAGAGGATCAGACATTGGGGGATGAAGTGGATGAGGTTCAACGCCAGCATGTAGTGTTCCTTCATGTGCACACTACATACGTCACTGTAGGCGCTGACGTTCATCAACGGCAGCAGCATGAACGTTGATCCAATGACGATGAACACAACACATTCCAGGGCGATGCAGACTCTGAGGGTATCTTTCACTGGAGGGTTCAAACATAAGGTTAGGGCAGAGTCAAAGGCAACAGTAGCGACCAAAAGGACGGTGACAGACACGGAGATATAGCTACCGGCACTGATGAAGTAGGACACAGCACATCCGTATGTCCCAGCAATGTTTTCGATGTTGTAGATGTGAGTGTGCACGATGAAGGCGCTGAGGCATTGCTCCAAGAGACACAAAAGGCTAAGGCTGGTGATGATAAAATGCTTAGATGAACGTCTCAGTTCAGCGTCAAGACAGCAGATAAGGATGATGAAGATGTTGCCGGTGAAGCCGGCGACGACTAAGATCACCCCAAATGTGATAAAGACGCTACGAGGGATGACGTCATAGAGCCCCGGTCCGAATGAGTCCTCCGTGATCGGATCTGACTGAAATCGTGATATCATAGTTGTATTAAGTAATAATGCTTGGAAACAATAAAAACGTAGATAACGTAGAGAACGTGCGAATGGAATGTATTTGAAAAGGTAAGAGAAGCAACAGTCAGGTTTAATATCTGTCTGGCTCTTGCACGGGCTTGTGTTGCAAGCTATGACAGTACAATGGCTCAAAGAAGGATTATTACACATGCAATTGAGATTATTATAGAGGAAATACGGGGATTATTGGTAACGTTTTCTGCTATCCCACAACATCAACGTCGAGATGAGAATCCTCGTCCTTCAGATCTTTATTGAGACTGGTGATATGCTTCCTTAGGCAAACACTTACTAAGGCTTTGGCGAGATACATGCTACACCAAGGAACCACAAAGGCTGTGGTAAGATACATGCTGTGTCATTGACCAACTTGTGGTGTCGTGAAATGCATACCACACCAAGGCGTTATTTAGGTTATTTCCAGATTCATGTGTGAGCAAGGACATATTGAGGCGGTGATGAGATGCATGCTACACCAAGGACTTATTGGTGGTGGGATGTTTGTTACACCATGGACTTATTGAGGCTGTGGTGGGATGGTTGTTACACCAAGGATTTATTTAGGCGGTGGTGGGATGGTTGTTACACCGAGGACTTATTGTGGCGGTGGTGGGATGGTTGTTACACCGAGGACTTATTGTGGCGGTGGTGGGATGGTTGTTACACCAAGGACTTATTAAGGCTGTGGTGGGATGGTTGTTACACCGAGGACTTATTGTGGCGGTGGTGGGATGGTTGTTACACCAAGGACTTATTGAGGCTGTGGTGGGATGGTTGTTACACCAAGGATTTATTTTGGCTGTGGTGGGATGGTTGTTACACCAAGGATTTATTTTGGCTGTGGTGGGATGGTTACTACACCAAGGATTTATTGTGGTTGTGGTGGGATGGTTGTTACACCGAGGACTTATTGTGGCGGTGGTGGGATGGTTGTTACACCAAGGACTTATTAAGGCTGTGGTGGGATGGTTGTTACACCGAGGACTTATTGTGGCGGTGGTGGGATGGTTGTTACACCAAGGACTTATTGAGGCTGTGGTGGGATGGTTGTTACACCAAGGATTTATTTTGGCTGTGGTGGGATGGTTGTTACACCAAGGATTTATTTTGGCTGTGGTGGGATGGTTACTACACCAAGGATTTATTGTGGTTGTGGTGGGATGGTTGTTACACCAAGGATTTATTGTGGCGGTGGTGGGATGTTTGTTACACCAAGGGCTTATTGTGGCTGTGGTGGGATGGTTGCTACACCAAGGACTTATTTAGGCTGTGGTGGGATGGTTGCTACACCAAGGACTTATTTAGGCTGTGGTGGGATGGTTGCTACACCAAGGATTTATTGTGGCTGTGGTGGGATGTTTGTTACACCAAGGACTTATTTAGGCTGTGGTGGGATGGTTGTTACACCAAGGACTTATTTAGGCTGTGGTGGGATGGTTGCTACACCAAGGACTTATTGTTGCGGTGGTGGGATGGTTGCTACACCAAGGATTTATTGTGGCGGTGGTGGGATGCATGCTACACCCATGACCTACTTAGGCTGTTGTGGAAAATCTGTCACACCAAGTACTTACCGAGGTTGTGGTGAGATCCATGCCAGGCGACTTAGGTCATCTACCCTTAGAGGCGGAGTCTCTGGAAGACACAACGCACGGCGATATTGAGAGCGACCAAACTGTTATATCATGTGGCGGCATCAGTCATTTGACAACGAAGACAACTGGTCGATGTTCTACAGCGTATCAACAACATTGTCATCGAGGCGGACGTAACATTCTCCCGAGTAACGCACGTGTTATATTTAATGAAAATGTTTATGTCCGGTTTCCGAAGGACACCGAATTCATAGTATTCATTGCAAACATAATAAAATAATAACCCACATCATTCAGCAATACAGATGTTAATGTATACAGCGTAAGGCCGGGGTTTTTTTGCAACATCTGTATGCATAACATCACCCAAATACCATCTCAAAATAAAGTTTCCAGGACGAATTCACTGGGGGCAGCGAAAAATGGAATCAACAGTCGTGAAATGTAAGTGAATATATATAACACGTATCACACAACAATATCGTTGTTAGAATATAACACGTATCACACAACAGTATTCATGTTTGTATGCAACACGTATTGAGCATTTGTATGAAACGCGTGAATAGTTCTGGTATCTGACTCTCTTTCGCTCGTCAGATACCAGAACTATTCACGTGTTTCAATTTGTATTACACGGCAGCTCGTTTAGCTTTCCGTATAAAGTTTACAAACACGTCACAACACCCTATGAAGGTAATTTGTGAAATTTTCATTTCCAGCTACACTGGCGAAACAATGCCCTGTGACGTCAGCCTAGCAACAGGGCTGCTGGTGTCATCGAGTGTGCATAAGCTTCTCAAAGTAATCTAGCATCTCCACGCGCAAGTCAATGCATAAGCGCAGAGATGTTGAGAATTTTCAATATTTCATGACAAACAAGTTCCGGCAGTGCATAAGCATGCGCTTTGGTGTTAAACAAATGTAATATCAGCTGATTGTTATTTTACAGTGGTAAGTTCAAAAGGCAAATAATATAAAAAACGATATCGAAGGTGACATCTGTCGTATTATTTACACATTTGTCTGCAACCATATCAACACACAGCTGACACAGCGGTCAGGAATTTCGAAATAACCTACTTCGGATAATGGATTTCCGACTATTGGTCTGATAACATTTTCATGAATTTCAGCTCTGAATATTACAAGAATATACATTCCTTAACATTTAGTTCAATTCCATGTTGTAAAATTCTATCGGGTGGATGCATACATCGCCCGTATGATAACTTCAATTTATTCACTTACCCGTGAAGAGATCACCCGTTTAATAAACATACAGCTGTATTACACATTGTGTAAAACCAAAACGCGTGCTTATGTACTCTCGGAACACGTTCCATGAACAAATATTGAAAGCTCTCAGCATCCCTTGGCTTATTCAACGACCTTGCGTGTGGAGTTGATAGATCACTGAGAGGAGCTTATGCACACACGATGACCCCAGCAACCTTGTTGCTAGGCCAACGTCACATGACATTGTTTCGCCGATGGATCTTGCAACAAAATTCCACAAATAACGAGATCGGGTATTGTGACGTTATTGTAAACTTTGAGGTGCAAGACCCGTTCAAGGCGATCGTATTGTAGCGCAACGACAGTCGTTAGTCTAAGGTAAAGTATGAGAGTTGCGATATTCTTAGCCCTACGAAAATGTTGTGAATTCTTAAGGTGGACCGTTGTATGGTATTAAATTCATACGTTTCAACTTTTGACGTGTTTGAAGTATTATTCTGTTAAACTAAATTTGACTATGCCGTGGATCGTGTAGGTGTCAGCCTATTCATACTCAACAGTATTATTCTAAAAACGTTATAAATGGCAAGTAATAAATAAAATACTAAACTCGATCCCGTGTAAAACCAATGAATACTCGTGAATAGTTGTGGTATCTGACGAGCTTTCGCTCGTCAGATACCACAACTATTCACTCGTTTCATAAAATTGGTATTACACAGGAAATTGTTTAGTATTCTATATATGTTACGAATGAACTGTTTTACAAGACATATACACCTGTAATCGATAAGTCAAAATCAGTCATAAAAGTAAAATCAATTACATTGCTTATTTGATTTATATCATGACATTTGGGTTAGTCCACAGTGTTTGATAAATGCTTATTTTTTAAGTCAGAGGATAGAATCAGTTGTATTATATTTAAATGTCAGAATACTTCCTTTAGTGCGGTCTTTCTCAGTACACAGTCGAGAGAGGACTCCCCGCCGCCAGATCCCAATTCCCCATGCATCAGCCGCTCTGTTACAGGCGAACAGGGATACAACAGCCACTTCTAACTCAAAAAACAACGAGCGGTACAAACGTAACCTTTTGCAAATTGATGAGTAAATTACCTGACATTTGCCCAGCATCGTGTGAGTGGCGAAGATCTGCCCCTAGTCACTCGGGTCGCAACTGGAAACACTTCAACATGGCCCACTTAGCCTTAGGTACCGGTGTTGGTGCAAATAGATTACCGTGAAAAAAAGTGACTGTAATGAATACTTGGAGCGCAAGCCCGGGCTGCTGCAATTCCATCTTCTACATGTCAGCTCGTAAGATTAAATATACATACAGAGCTAGAAAAAAGAGTTCACAGCTTTGTTTCTTAGTCTGTGTCTTAACGTTGCTTACCTTTGCATCCATGCCGACGACCCAACAAAATACAGTTTTAATAACTTGCTTATGTGTCACATGTTTTTACCAATTGTTATTTAAAGCCGACAGGCAAATGTGCTGCCAACAAAATGGAGCATAGAGACATTTATCACCCAAAACTGGGTCCCACACTAGATATCGGTTGGGTGAGATCAAGCTATATCTACACTATAGATAACGCTGCAATGAAATTGCATCACAATGCTTTGCAGACCACTGTGACGTCATTGGTTACCATGACGTCGCAATCAAATGACATCACTAATGGCTCTGCTACTCAAGCTGTTAGCAGCACTTTTTACACTCAATACACTTTTTTACTGTCTAAAAACTGAAAAAGTTGGAACAATGATGTTGGATGATAATAGAATCTCACCCTCGTCTATTTTGATATCAAATATATCAACACTCGTTGATATCAAAAGACACTTGGGTGAGATTTTCTATATAAACAATCATACGTGCACAAAGACTGCACGGGGCTCTTTATAAATGCGGGGCGGTCGGGTAGCCTAGTGGTTAAAGCGCTGCTCGTCACGCCGAAGACCCGGGTTCGATTCCCGACATGGGTACAATGTGTGAAGACCAATTCTGGTGTCCCCCGCCGTGATATTGCTGGAATATTGCTAAAAGCGGCGTAAAACCATATTCACTCACTCTTTATAAATGCTACACCAGATTCTATCGATAAGTCAAACTGCAATATTGAAGTATGACGTGTGTGGTCGAGAACCTCCATTCATCACCGAAATAAATACATACACCCGCTTCATTTTGTCGAACTATTTGCTGCCTGTCATATTTCAAGGAAACAAAATTGTTTCGTTTCAGTAAATACTCAAAATATAACTTTGATCTCTGTTTTCATCGGAAGATATTTTAAGGATATTATGAAAAATATAAAATGAGAATAACCAGTTGTGATTATCCGACGACACAGATTCCACTGGGCATAAGAAGGAATATAGCCGCGAAAATGAATGAATCATTGAAAATCCGCGATGACAACAGGTGGTCTTGGGAAAAGGAAAGGTTGTCCTGCCCAATCAGTAGCAAACAAGGGGTCATGGTGTGGGTCCGAAACAAATTATTAGGCTCGTCCTTTCAGAGAAACAACTGAACATCTTGAAGCAAGGGCCAGTAAAATATTTTTAAACAGTCTCTAACAAAAAGTCTCCCGCTCAGAATATTTAATGCTCGTTCCCATGGGGCACCTGCTAGCTCAGTGATGAACCGGAGTTCACGATAAGAAAAACACATCATCCCTGGTGTCCCCCGGCGCCAGATATTTTGTTGGAATATTGCCAGGAGCAAAACCTAATTCTCACACTCCTTGAACATACACGAATGGAGAATTGATGCTTGAAATTACGACGTGAACGTATTGGACTTCCTCGCTGTGGATTGATATGTGATTGAGTAAGTTGGATTTAACGTCGTCGGAAAGATTTCCTGTTATATCTTTGTGTGCAATATTAATGTGGAAGGAAAAGACCGCAGTGACGCAGGTCGGAGATTAGAAGAAATCAAAGAGCGATGTAATTTGAAACGTAGGCAGTTGTACCGTGTAGCTAAGGCAGTTGAAACTTAAATTATCACCTAGACTGATTATTTGGTAACACCGACAGATATGACTTGTAAAAAGCACAGTTGTAATTTATCACACAGGCAGATTACTTGGTGACCCCTACAGATATGACTTGTAAAGTGCACAGTTGTAATTTATCACACAGACAGATTACTTGTTGACCCCTACAGATATAGCTTGTAAAGTGGACAGTTGTAAGTTATAACGTAGACAGATAACGTCGTAACACCGACAGATATATCATGTAAAGTGCACAGTGGTTAGTTATCACCTGGACAGATTACCTGGTAACACCGATAGATATAACTTGCCAGTGCACAGTAGTAAGTTATCAACTAGACACACTACTTGGTAACACCGACAGATATAACTTGTAAGTGCACAGTTGCAAGTTATCGCCTAGACACACTACTTGGTAACACCGATAGATATAACTTGTCAGTGCACAGTTGTAAGTTATCAACTAGACACACTACTTGGTAACACCGACAGATATAACTTGTAAGCGCACAGTTGTAAGTTATCGCCTAGACACACTACTTGGTAACACCGACAGATGTAACTTGTAAGCGCACAGTTGTAAGTTATCACCTAGACACACTACCTGGTAACACCGACAGATATAACTTGTCAGTGCACAGTTGTATGTTATCAACTAGACACACTACTTGGTAACACCGACAGATATAACTTGTAAGTGCACAGTTGTAAGTTATCACCTAGACACACTACCTGGTAACACCGACAGATGTAACTTGTAAGCGCACAGTTGTACCTCATCACCTAGACACACTACCTGGTAACACCGACAGATTTAACTTGTAAGGACACAGTTGTAAGTTATCACCTAGACACACTACCCGGTAACACCGACAGATTTAACTTGTAAGTGCACAGTTGTAAGTTATCACCTAGACACACTGCCTGGTAACACCGACAGATGTAACTTGTAAGTGCACAGTTGTAAGTTATTACCTGGACACACTACCTGGTAACACCGACAGATGTAACTTGTTAGTGCACAGTTGTAAGTTATCACCTAGACACACTTCCTGGTAACACCCACAGATGTAACTTGTAAGTGCACAGTTGTAAGTTATCACCTAGACACACTACCTGGTAACACCGACAGATGTAACTTGTAAGTGCACAGTTGTAAGTTATCACCTAGACACACTTCCTGGTAACACCGACAGAGGGAACTTGTAAGTGCACAGTTGTAAGTTATCACCTAGACACACTACCTGGTAACACCGACAGATGTAACTTGTAAGTGCACAGTTGTAAGTTATCACCTGGACAGGTTACATGATAACACAGACTGACGCATCTTGAAGCGCAGGCAGTTGCAGTCTCAACAGACACTGAAATACTGGATAAATGTGCTTAATGGAACACCTGGATGTGTGTGTTTACCGAGGTATAACTTGCTTCGTGAATCTTGGTGCTCCAATATGAATGTTGCTTAAAGGTATTTACGGCGAAATGTCATAACTTTCACATCATATGCTGTGAAAATCAAATATCCCAAATAACAAGACTCGATCGTCAGGCAGTGCCACCTCTTATAGAAGGAAACTAGCTTGATGCAAACGGACACGTGGTGTGCAACTACACGGAGTGCCCGGGGAAAGCTGACACAATGTTGCCTGGTCGCAGAATGAGCGGTCAGTGATATACTCCCCAGCCACGATATTCATGGCCATCCGTGTACCGTTGATATCATTTTCAAGGTTTAATTAGATAACATGGAAAACGTGCGTGAGGAATAAATTACTACAGTTGCTTTGGTCGTTAGATAGGTTTGAAACACAATATATTTTTTATATTTTGTTTTATTTTTTTATTTATTTTTTGTTTCTATTTCTTTTGGAGGGGTGGGGAAGCATTAAGTGTAAAACATATATTTAGCGATTTAACATTTACTTTCACAACATAGAAGTTTATGTAACACAAGTGCATACACTTTCTAGAAATTAGGATGATGCTTCATCATTTATACATATTTAAGTTTAATCATAATGAACAGACCCGTGAAGATCTGGGGTAGGATAGGTCTTTAGCATACCATGCTGGTCGTAAAAGGCGACTGACGGGATCGGATGGTCAGACTCGCTGACTTGGTTGATGCATGTCATCGTATCCCAATTGCGTGGATCGATGCTCATGATGTCAATCACTGAGTTCCCTTGTCCAGACTCGACTGTTTACAGACCGCCATCATATAGCTGGAATATTGCTTAGTGCGGCGTTAAACAACAAAATAAACAAACAAACATAATGAACACATGATGAAATCTCATAACCATACCATAATTCCATAACAAAGATCCGTTTATTGTGCATTCTACCATGGTATTGTAGAATCCTTCACTCTGATTGGTCCGCCAGAGGTATCGATGCTACTCTAGATCATGATATTGCTGATGGCCACATTAACGCAAAAGAAGATATCTATTCAAAATCAGCTCCTTCGTAAGCCCACCCTTTGGGCAATTTTCAGTAGTGATCTTACCTCTATAAAGTTGTTAAATATTGTCTTGTGATTCTCGAATTATTTATAGTAAGTGTGGCAATATATTTCAGGCGGAAGACATGACGAACAAATATATTTTTATTTTTTAAAATATTTTTTATTCAATTCACAATATGATGTTACATATTTTCAGATAAAGAAACATACAATGTTATTTACCTATTAGATGGAGGTTACATACCTGTACAGCAGACAGCAAAGTTTAGCTGACTAGTCATGATACAGGTGTACAACAATGTTAAGAAGTGGGGAAATTGTTGGTTGGTTTGTTTTACGCCGCAAGTGGTGAAATGAGCAGGCTACATTTGCCATGCTTTTTGGGGGTGAACAAATACTTAGAGAGTGTATTGTACGATTCGGTAACATCACAACACGGCTTGACAACGTCTGTCTCTGTCTCAACTTGGCGCTACTTTCCCAAGTGCTGTGAAGCCATGCCTAACGCGTCACAATGCTGATTATTCAGAACTTTACAACAATAGTGGTGTTTACTTTTTCTACACATTTTAGATGGGGCGACACTGCGACCCTGCGATATATTTTGACCTTGAAAGATTTCGCATTGTTGACCTTTGGTAAAGTAAAAAAAAAAAACAGTATTCAAAGCGCGACAGTGTGACAGCGCGACAATACCACAAATGGTCAAAATGTCGCGTTGTCACATTGTCGCGCTCTAATTCCTTTTGACA